GATTCTTCTTTGCCAGGGGTGAGGTCAGGGGGGTCTCAGTCTTGCTGTGCATTCCAGCCAGAGGGAACAGTATGCAGAGCTTGGGGGGACGTGAACGGTCTCAGCAGTGACCCCCATCTGTTAGTCTTCAGTCCTGCTGGCCTCTCTGCCTGAGAACCCCCTACCCCAGTTTGGATCAAATTTTTGCTTATTCTTCAAAGCTCATCTGGGCGTCACCTCTTCCCGAAGCCCTCCTTTTGTTCTGCACTTGGGTCTGACATCCCCTGCTCTGCTCCTGTGAACCCCGGGCAGCGTAAATCCTTGCTTGACCCTGAGGCTTGTAACCATGGAGGAATGAATGAATGCATGAACCTTCACTGACATGTGAAAATTTGAGTGGTGAACAAGAATAAGTGAATGAGATTATTTATGATTTCTGCTCCCCAGGCTACTTAAGCATCCCCAGGGATGCTTTCCGCCCAGAGAAGAAGGGCAAGCAAACAGTTCCCTGAGGAGTCACAGAGTGAGCCGGAATTGCTCATTCAAGCATGCATGTGTGCATTCTTTTAAGTATCCTGCAGGCCTGGGTTGACCCACAGCTCGGGGTCAGGCATGTGCTGGATGCTGGAGGGAGCAAAAGGAGTTCAGTCCCTACCCTGTGATCAGGGGACATACGACCTCCCCCACCTCCTGGCTCTTTCCCTCAAACCCAGAACCCCAGCATCAGCATGAGAAAAACAGCAGACAAACCCAAACGGAGGCACAACTACAAAACATCCGGCCAGTCCTCCTCAAAACTTCCAAGGTCATCCACAACAAGGGAAGTCTGAGAAAAGGTCGCAGCCTACAGGAGCCCAAGGAGGAGTGACAGCCACGTGTCACGCGGGAGCCCGGCACAGGGACAGAGAAAGACATCAGTGGGAGAGCGGGAGACGTGTAGCGTGTGGTTTAGATACCACCACCGTGTCGATGTTGGGTCCTTATTGTGACAAATGTATAATGACCACCGTGTCGATGTTGGGTCCTTATTGTGACAAATGTATAACGTTGATGTCGGCTGTTAATAGTCGAGGAAGCAGGGTATGCTTTGTATGGGGACATGCTGTACTATCTTTGCAACTTTTCCATCCATCTAAAACTGTTTGGGACTTCCCTGGCTGTCCAGTGGTTAAGACTTTGCCTTCCAATGTAGGGGGTGCAGGTTCAATCCCTGGTTGGGGAGCTAATATGATCCCACATGCCTAAAACAGAAGCACCATTGTAACAAATTCAACACAGACTGTAAAAATGATGCACATCAAAAAAGTCTTCAAAAAAATCAAACCTTTCTAAACTAAAAAGTCTACTTCAAATTAAAACAAAATCCCAACCCTTCTGCTTAAAACCAACCGCTATTAATAAGCCCTTGTGTTTCTTTGCTTTCTCTTTTTTAAAAACAGAGTTGTAACTGACAAGTAATATTAGTTTCAGGTATGCAACATGATATTTGTTTGCATTGTGAAATGATAACCACAACAATTCTAGGTGATGTTGGTCACCATACATAGTTACAGAATTCTTTTGTGTGATGAAGCTTTTAAGATCTACTCTCTTAGCAACTTTCAAATGTGCAGTAGAGTTTTGTTGGTTATTCTCAGCATGCCACACATCCTGTCCCAGGGCTTCTTCATCTTATAACCAGACGTTTGTACCTTTCGACCCCACCCACCCATTTTGCCCATCCCCAATCACCTCTGCTACCACCTGTCTCTTCTCTGTTTCTATGAGCTTGGTTTTGTTTTTGTTTTTGTTTTTCCTTTTCCTTTTTGATTCCACATATGAGTGAGATCCCCCAGTATTTGCTTTCTCCGTCTGATTTACTGCACTTAGCACAAGGCCCTCCAGGTCTATCCATGTTGTCGCAAATGGCAAGTTTCATTCTTGTTTATGGCTGAGTAATGATCCTTCCACCCTTCTTTCTATGCATTTTCCACTGACAAAATTACACTTACTTTTCTGCACCTACCATGACAAAACTATTATATACTTCCTTACAATTTTGTCCATGGGAAATGCAGAGAAACTGAACTTGCTTATAATGTCCTGCTCTTTTTTGTGAGTGCATTAGTTCTCCTGTCACTAAACACGATGGAAACATCTGTACACACTGTCTGACTCTGTTTAACATCTCCGCCACCCGCTCCTATTTTTCTTGCATGTAAACCACACCATGAAGAGTACATCTCTGAGCACATGTGCCCACCTTTCAGGGATCAGAGTCAGCAAGGGATCAGGCTCCGTGGCCCTCCGTTTGCTAGGGGCACAGAAGCCTTTGTGCTGAAGGAGGTGAATGACCTCACTCAGGAGCTCAGTAAGGTTTCCTTGGAAAGAAGGAACAAACTGATACGTCCCTTGTTGACAAGAAACAGGAGTTTTGCGCAGCTCATTAATTTATGCGCCATGTGCTTAGTTGTCTTCCAGAGGCATGTCGGGGTTTGGGAAAATCATTCTGGGGGCGACTCATCGTGCTTTGCCCTCACAGAAAAGCTGAGCTCATCTTGGTCCAGGCTAGTCCCACCCAGGCTGCCAGCTCCAGCCCAGCTAAAACCCCGTGCTGCGTGGAATCGCCACTGACCCTGGCCCTATCCAGCACGGCTCTGTGACCCCAGCAGCTTGCCTGTCCTCAGTCTCCCCACCTGCCGAGCAGAGGAGACAGCAACACGGTGACAGTCACCACGCAGAATCGTAATACAGACCGGCTGGTCGCGTTCGTATTAGACCTCCATGGTGGGCACCCTGTCATTCCCCATTTCAGACAAGGAGACTGAGGCACAGAGGGTACTGGTCACACAGACATGGAATCTAAGCTGGGTCATCCAAAGATGGAGTGTGTGTCCCCAGCCCCCTGCTCCACCGACACATAGTTCATTCACCCATTCCCTCATTCACCCATTCCCTCATTCATTCATCCATTCCCTCATTCATTCATCTATTCCCTCATTCATTCATTTCCTCATTCATTCACTCCCTCATTTGTTCACTCCCTCATTCGCTCACTCCCTCATTCATCCTATGGGTGGAATGCCCCCTGCGGGGGTGGGGAGGGGAGGGGAGGGCGTCAGTAGTAACCTCCACAGATGTCCCCCTGACCCGACAGGGCCCCAGTCCCCATGCAGGAGGCCTCTCCCATGAAATGGGGTGAGTGTGTTGTGGACGAGTCCTGGGTCCCCAGCAGCATTGCAGCAGGAGCTCCAACCAGCCTGGGGAAGAAGGCCATCCCAGGGTGTGCACCGAGGTGGAAAGGGGCAGGGGCAGGGGTGTGGACCACGCCAGGCAAGGGCAGGCCGCACATGAGGCTGGGAGGGAGGCGGCCCGGGAGGGTCCTAGGATCCCCATACGGGGGTCGGCACCTCCTGGGTCTGTGAAGAACCGTGAAGGTTCTACAAGGTCCGTATGTAGGAGAGTCCCCCGGCTTCCGTGTGGGGAATGGATCTTCTGATGAAGCAAGAGGCGGAACCACAGTGCTGGGGGCGGGGGGTGGGATGGGGAGGGCAGGACCACGTGGCTCCCAGCCCCTGCACTCTGTGTTTCCCGGTGCTCCTGGCGCTGACTCAGCCCATCGGCTGATCAACCATCTCTGGCACCAGGAGCACGCGGGGCCCTGTCGTTCTGCCGAGCGGCCCCAGGGCTGCCCTGTTCTGACCCTTGGCCGCCCTTTCCTGACCTTTCTGTGACACGGGGGACACTGCTCACACACAGCCCAGCAGGGCTTGTACCTGTGAGAAGAGGAACCTGGAGGGAAGGCAAATGTGAAGGGACCTCGGGTGTGGGGGGCTGGGGGTGCACATGGTGGGGCTGTCCCTCTTCCTCTCAGGGGACGCCTTGCCATCAATTTCACGTCGGAGTGGAGTCGGGGCCACTCTCAGTCGTATGCATCTCCCGGCATCTCCAGCGATTCGATGCTGGGCTTGAGGGCAGGGAGCGAAAACGGAGGGTAGGCTCCGACTCCACCCCAAGCCTCCAGCCAGGACGAGGCAGCCTCCCACACGGCCCCTGCTCCGGGCGCTCTTCACAGTAAGCCTCCTCCTGGCACTCCGCACCCCCTGCCCGGCCCTGGCAGAGCTCTCACTGGACGAGTCAGTGGCCTGGGGCGGCCGTGACAGAGTTCCGCGAACAGGGCAGGAATCGGCCTTCCGGGCTCTGCAGGCCGGAAGTCTGGAGTCAGGTGTCGGCTGGGCGGGTTGCCCCCGCGGGCTGCGGGGAGCCGGCTGCAGGCAGCAGCCCCCCGGCGTGTAGACGCATCTCCTGACCCGTGTCTTTCAGATCATCCTCGTGAGCTCCTCACTCAGCGACCGGGACCAGAGCCTGTTCCTCAGCGCCGACGAGGGCGCCACCTTCCAGAAGCAGCTTGTCCCCTTCTCCGTGGAGACACTCCTCTTCCACCCCCGGGAGGAGGACAAGGTGCTGGCCTACACCAAGGAGGGCAAGGTGAGCCGCCAGGCATCCGCCGGGCATCCGCGAGGATGGGAGCCTCCCGTCACCTGGGGCCCTGGAGCCCTGGGCGGCATCAGGGCTCCCTGGGGCTGGGGTCGGAGACCCCATCACCCCCTGCTCCCCAGGGCTGAGGTTGGGGACCCCCTCATCCCCTGCTCCCCAGGGCTGGGGTCGAGGACCCCATCACCCCTTGCTCCCCAGGGCTGAGTGGTCAGGTACCCCTCAGGACCTCATGGGTTCAAGTGAGAGCCGGTGGGTGGAGGTGAGGTACAACAGGCTCACGAGACAGCGGAAGGACGGTGGATAATTATGAGGACCCTCCACTCTGACCCCCAGCACACTCCAGCCGTGGGGCCTCCCTCCACTTCCAGAACATTCCACACACCCTCCCACCCCCAGGCCCCTCCGCTTGGAAGCATCTTACACCTTCACCAGGAGAGGGAATCATCCTTCCAACCCCAAGCCAGCATCCTCTCCTCTGAGGGCAGTCCAGCAGGGCCTCAGGAGCCCAGGGCACCTTCACGGGTGATTGAGGAGTGCGCTGTGAGGGGCTTTCTCCAGGGCCAGCGTGGGTGTGGTAGGAGACCCCGGAGCTGGGAGGGGGTGGTCTGAGGGCCCCTGGAGGAGGGGCCGCCTGCCTGGAGGAAAGGTCTGGGTCAGGTTCCTGCAGACACCATAAGGAATGATCACAAACTTGGCAGCTTAAGACAACACAGGTGTATTGGCCAAAGGCCCCAAATCAGTTTCATGAGGCCAAAGCCAGGGCATCTGTGGGGTGACTCTCCCCCAGAGGCTCCGGGGGGGTCTTTCCCTCGCCTCCACCAGCTTCTGATGAGTCACACCGAGCTTCAAAGGCAGCATCTTCAACTCTTCCTGCTCCATCTTCACGTTGCCGTGTGTGTGTGTGTGTGTGTGTGTGTGTGTGTGTGTGTAAGTTCCCTAAGCATCCCATCTAAGCATCCAGACCAAGCTTCCCATCTAAGCATCTTCACTGAATTGACCATGAAGTCCTTTTTCAGTCCATCAGGTCCCTTTCACAAGTACCAGGGATTATGACACAGATATTTTGAGGGGGACCTTGTCAGCCAACCACCCTGCCTGATAGGAGGCCTGAAGCCCTGTCATAACGAAAGGGCTGAGGAGGAGGCTGGCGCTGGGGAGAGTCACTCATCCCCGAGAGATTCTGTGGTTGGGTAGTCAGAGAACAGGAGTCATGGTTCCCGTCTCTCTCCTCCTGTCCTGTTTCCCGTGATCTGAATCCCACCAGAAGCCAGGGAGAGGGGGCCTGTGGATGCCACCCACACAGGGCAGCTCCCAGGGTTGGAAGAGGGTGGAAAAGGCAGAAACTGGGTCTGGAGCAGACAGAAGCTATCTGGATCAGAAGCTTCCTTGGGTGCCCCCAGACCTGCCTGGGATTCACCATTCCACACTCTTCCAGATTCCAGTAACTCTCTTTCCCAGGAAGGGTCACAATGCATGATTATATATTCGTGCATTGTCTGCATTTGTGCATATTTGATTATTGTCTGTACCTTACACACACCCTTGGGGTAAGCTCCTTGAGGGTGGGGCTATGCCTGGCTTTTTTTTTTTTTTCACAATTTTATCTCAAGTTCCTGGCTGGAAATATTGAATGAGGGATGGAAGGAAGGATGAGGGATGGGTGAATGAATGGATGGGTGGGTGGATGGAAGAATGGATGGATGGGTGGATGGGTGGATGAGTGGATCGGTGGATGGATGGATGAGTGGATGAGTGGATAGATGGATGGGTGTGTGGGTAGATGGCAGGTGGATGGATAGGTGGATGGATGGAAGGATGGATGCATAGGGGTAGATGGATGGTGGATGGGTGGATGGGTGGATGGATGGGTAGGTGGATGGGTGGATAAGTCGACGGATGGGTGGATGGATGGGTGGGTGGGTGTGAAGGTAGATGGATAGATGTATGGATGGAAGCATAGATGCATAGGGATAGATGGATGGTGGGTGAGTGAATGGATGGATGGGTGAATGGATAGGTGGATGGGAGGGTGGATGCATAGTGGTGGATGAATTATGGATGGTGGGGAAGATGGATGGAAGGATGGATAGGTGAATGGATGAGTGGATGGGTGGATGGATGGAAGGATGGATGCATAGTGGTGGATGGATGGTGGGTGGATGGAAGGATGGATACATGGGGGTGGATGGATGATGTAGATGCATCGATGGCAGCTGGATGAATGAATGAATGAATTTGTACCAGCAGGGACCACCATGGTCAGGGACCTCCAAATGAAGCTTCCTGTCTGGCCTGAGCCATGGCTGTCTACAGGACCTGGCCTCCTTGCTGGTCCTCAATTTAGTGTGCCTGCTTTGATCTGGCATACATCACACCCACTCACATGCCACTGGCCAAAGCAAGTCTCATGCCAAGACCTGGTCCTCGCTGACTGGCTGAAGTTCAGGACGTCCCTGAAATTCCCTGGCCTGGTGGGCTGCCTCTGCTCTGGGTACTTTCCTTTGGGACAGCGTGTGCTTTGGGGTATTAATAGTGCTACTTAGCTTTCCATGTAATTAGACTAAAGCACATCACAGAGACTTATTTTCCCACAGAAATCCACTGCATTGCAATTGCTCCTTAATTTATGGTGCCCTGAAAAATTAATGGAGCTGAAATCTCAGTTATTTTCTTTGGTTCTTTTCCGTGACTATCAGGAAAGAGAAAAGGGGAGAAGACAGGCTTCGTTGTGGTTGTAAAGGGAATGAGGAATTTGAGGACATCAATAACAGTGACAGCAGGGCTTTCGGCTTTTTAGGCTTCATGGTTTAGGAAGCTCGCTAACTCCCCAGAAGCAGGATGGCGTGGGCAGACAACGTTGACTTTGATGCCCACAGACCTGGTGTGTCAGGCAGGTGTCTGCTGCTCCAGTGCTGAGTAGCACATAGCCCCAGAGCTCCACGGCTCCCCGCAGCAAGCATTCTTTCTCATTTCCAGGTCTGTGAGTCAGCAGGGGTCCTGGTGGGCTTGGCTGGGACTGGCTAGTCATGGCTCCTGGGCAGGGTTCAGGTCTCTAGTTCTGGAATCATTAGTTACTTGCGGACGTGGTAGTCTCATGACAGAGGGGCAGAGGAAACCGCATGAGGACCTTCACGTGTCTGCTTATACCTGGAAAACATCACATCTCTTCCCATGGGCAGAGCAAGTCATGTGTCAAAATCCAAGGTTTGCAGGCTGGACATCGACATCCGGTTCACAGGGACCCACAGATTTCTACAAAACCAAATGCCTTCCTCTGCTTTCTCCGCGTCCCTCCCCACTCAGATACCTGCCCCCTCCTCTAGCAGACAGACCATCTTCCCTGCTCAGACTGTCCTAACTCCCTACTTCTAGTTCCCCTCTTTACTGTGTCACTGAGGCTACCCTATTTGGATCCTGAACAGGCTCCCTGGGTGAGACCCAAAGGCAGTGGTTTTTCTTTCAAGGCTCAGCGAATCGCATTAGGCTCCTGGGACCCAAAGGATATCAGAGCCGACAGTCTGTGCCCTGTGCCAGCTCGCTAGGGGCCCCTGCTCTGACACTGACCAGCCTGTTTCCTCCTGCTCAAACCTCAGACCCACTCGCAGACAGGGCCCTGGGCACTCAACCTCTAAAACATCGATAGACCCACTTGTATGTTTTATTCTGCTTCCTGACAAGAACCTCTTCACTTCCCAGCACTGTGAGAAATTGGTCTGAGCATGAGATTGCCTTCCAGAAACTTCAGTTCAGTCGCTCAGTCGTGTCCGACTCTTTGCGACCCCATGGACTGCAGCACGCCAGGCCTCCCTGTCCATCACCAACTCCTGGAGTTTACTCAAACTCATGTCCATTGAGTTGGTGATGCCATCCAACCATCTCATCCTCTGTCATCCCCTTCTCCTCCTGCCTTCAATCTTTCCCAGCAACAGGGTCTTTTCCAATGATTCAGCTCTTCACAGGAGGTGGCCAGAGTGTTGGAGTTTCAGCTTCAGCATCAGTCCCTCCGATGAACACCCAGGATTGGTCTCCTTTCGGATGGATAACTTGGTAGAGGAGAAAAAACACCTTGGGTGACCAATCAGGGAAGCTTGCCTGGAGGAGGGGTGTTGAACAGGTGCTCAGAGAATAAGTCAGGATGTAAGTTTACTTTTTAAAAGAAGTTCCGAGCAGCAAAGGTGATCACACAAGAAAAGAAAGAAAAATGAACCCCGGTAATCCTCCACGGGTCGGTGGTGGGGCAGACAAGAGCTCTCCTAAGAAGGGGTGAGGGGTTCTGCGGTCAGGAGAACAGCTTTGAGCAGTGAGAATCTTACAGCTCAGAGTGTGTTCGTTTTTGCTCCGACCTTTGTGTCTGACGGGGCTCAAGCAGAAAAGGGACCTCCCTCTGGATATTTTAAGTAGAAAAAGGATTTAGGATTTGGGGCGATTGGGTCCTCTCTAAACTGCCAGGAGGCTGGAAGGGGGGCTTCAGACCAGACTTCCGAGGATTCTCCCAGAAGCCTGAGGATCTGGACCAGCAGGGAAATGTGGGGGACCAGGAGCTCTGCTGGGGTCACCAAGGTCAAGAACACACAGCCGATGCTGGGGTCGAGGCATCTGAAATCATCACTGCTGCAGCCCACACTGCCTGGGAATGTCCACAAAGCCAGTGATTGGTCCTGCGGCTGCCTCCACCACAACTGCCCCTCCAGCCCCCAGAACTGGAGGATGGATGCCAAGCACGTTCCCATGACCTGGTTGGCCAGCAAAACAGAGTTACCACGTGATCCAGCAATCCCACTCCGTGGGCATATATCCAGAGAACACCATAATTTGAAAAGACACATGCACCCCAATGCTCCCTACAGGACTGTTTACAGTAGCCAGGACACAGAAATGACCTAAATGTCCATCAACAGAGGAATGGATGGAGGAGACGTGGTCTATGTGTACAGTAGGATATTACTCAGCAATAAAAGAGAATGACATAATGCCATTTGCAAAAACATGGATGGATCTAGAGATTATCATACGAAGTAAGCCAGACAGAGAAAGACAAATACCATATGACAGCACTTGTATGTGGAATCTAAAAATAAAGATACGAATAAACCTATTTACAAAGCAGAAATAGACCCACAGACATAGAAAAGAAACTTATGGTTACTGAAGGGGGAAGAATAAATTAGGAGGTTGGGATCAGCATATAGACACTGCATGCAAGGGTGCGGAGTCGCTTCAGTCGTGTCCAACTCTGTGCGACCCTATAGACTGTAGCCCACCAGGCTCCTCTGTCCATGGGGTTCTCCAGGCAAGAATACTGGAGTGGGTTGCCATGCCCATCTCCATGGGATCTTCCTTGCCCAGGGATCAAAGCCATGTCTCTTACGCTTCCTGCATTGGCAGGTGGGTTCTTTACCACTAGCGCCACCTGGGAAGCCTAACATCTATACATTACTATATATAAAATAAACAAGAAGAAACGACTGTATAGTTTCTAACTATACTAACTACTGTACACTAACCACTGTATAGTACAGGGAACTATACTCAGCATTTTGTAATAACTTATAAGGAAAAGAACCTGAAAAGTAAAGAACATATGTATATATATCATATACATATTATTTATTATATATTATTATATACATTGGGCTTCTCTGGTGGCTCAGCTGGTAACAAATCTGCCGCAAGAGACCTGGGTTCGATTCCCTGGGTTGGGAAGATCTCCTGGAGAAGGGAAAGGGGATGTTATAAAAAATTATATACATTATTTATAAACAAATCATATATGTATATATATATATAAATTACTGCATTGTACACCTGACACGAACATGACATTGTACATCAGTTTCAATAAATGGCTGTCCAAGGCTGCAGGGAACTGATTCCATGGCCCTTTGGCCTTCCGAACCTCGCACGACTGCGTCTGTCTGACTCAGAATTCTAGCTACGAGGGAGTCTGAGCGACGCTGGATTTCAGCTTTGCAGCCTCTGCAGCATGACCGGGTGCCCTACAGCAAGGGAGAAAAGGATGCTGAGTTCCAACCCTATGTCCAACCTGCCGCTGAACGCTGGGTGGAATTGCCGTGCTTCTGAGAATTGCGTGAGACCCCCTGGCACACGTGTCCGTGGACGCACCTTCCCTCTGCCCTGCTCCCCTCCTCCTGCTCTATCTCTCCCTCGTCCTGACTCCCGGTCAGTTTATCTTTACACCAGAGTGGCACACATGCGGCAGCACACCATCCCACTCCTTTCTGTGGAGCATCCGTCTAGAGTAAGCCCGCTCATCCCCAGGATGCTACCGTGCAGGTTTTAGCTGTGGTGATTAGGATGTCCCTGATGTGTTTATTCTTGTGGAGTCACTGGTATATGTCTTTCACTCAGCAGAAATGTTCTATTTCTGCAGCAACTGGTTGTGCACTATGAAATCACCTCCCACGGGAGCAAATTGGAAAGGCTTCAGGAAGTTAAGGGTGGGTGTCGTAAACACAGAAGCATCGGCAGCGATGGAAACAAGCCCACCATCAATTAAGCTGGGGGTGTGATAACCTGCACCGAGAAACTGATGGCTACCATCTCCTTTTTCTCTCACTTACCCTTGGACTGCAGGGAGTTCCAACCAGTCCACCCTAAAGGAGATCAGTCCTGGGTGTTCATTGGAAGGACTGATGTTGAAGCTGAAACTCCAATCCTTTGGCCACCTGATGCGAAGAGCTGACTCATGGAAAAGACCCTGATGCTGGGAAGGATTGGGGGCAGGAGGAGAAAGGGACAAGAGGATGAGATGGTTGGATAGCATCACTGACTCAATGGACATGGGTTTGGGTAGACTCTGGGAGTTGGTGATGGACAGGGAGGCCTGGCATGCTGTGGTTCATGGGGTCGCAAAGAGTCAGACACGACTGAGTGACTGAACTGAACTGAACTGACACCGCCTGAGGATCTGAGCCAAGCTCTTTCAATACGCAGAGGGGTGAAGGGAGACCGCCCTCAGAGAGAGGAGTCCGTCCAGGGGAAGGAGAGGGGAAGAGGGCTGTGCCAGGCGGAGGGAGCAGCATGTGTGAAGGCCTAGAGGCAAGAGAGAGGAAAGGGGTGGACCCAGGAAAGAGTGAGAGTTGATCACAATGGGAGCCTGTGGAGGAAGTTGTGAAAGGGCCTCTGGTTCTAGGTGGCCCAGAGCTGGGAAGCCCCGGAGGGGCAGCTGGGGAAGCACCAAGTGGCAGACAGACCAAGATGCAGACTCTCAGCCTCTTGGGGTAAGAAGACTTCGCAGACCCGGCGTTTTCTCCCTGCAGGGGAGAGCAGGCGAGAGTAGCTGAGCAGCTCCAAGTTTTGTTGGCGAAAAAGGAGCAGGCTTCCCTGGTGGCTCCGTGGTAGAGAAGCCACTTGCCAACGCAGGCGACCCAGGTTCAATCCCTGGTCAGGGAAGATGCCACGTGCCGTGAGGACTAAGCTGCACACACACCTGCTGAGCTTGTGCCCCAGAGACCAGGAGCCGAAAGTGCAGAGCTCACGCGCCACAACCACTGAAGCCCCTGCTAGCGGGAGCCCGTGCTCCGCAGCGAGAGGAGCCCCGCGTCGCCCCTGGAGAGTGGCCCCTGCTCGCTGCAACTAAATAAAAGCCCAGGCAGCAACGAAGGCCCAGCCAAAAATAAATAAATAAAATTATTTTTTTAAATGTACTAAAAACTTAAAGACAGTTGAAAAATAACTGAAGTAGTCAATCTTTAAAAAAAAATAAGGAATAAGTGTTCATGATTGTCGCCAGGGTCACAGCGTGTCCGTCAGACGACCGTTCAGAGTGACTCTCTACAGGCTCTTGTAGAGAGCGGGGACGGCCACGCTGAAGTGGGGCGTCTTCTCACAAGTCCCCGGGGTTAGGAGATGCTCCTGGCAAGGAGGAAGCACTTGTGCGGGAGCTTGTCTGCTCTTTCGCGGCTGCGGGAAAGATAGAGGGGACGTTTTCCAGAAGTTTCTCTCCCAGACAGTTGTGGGATCTGCAGTGTTCAGGGCCATTGTTGGCAAGGGGGCGAGGAGGTCCAGACACCCAGACTGACAGTGTGGGCAGACCCAGGACGGATCAGGATCAAGGGACCAGGCGGGCGTGGGGTGCTCGCTCCTGTGGTCTCCGCCCCACCCTGGGCAGCTCTGTCCAGGAGAATGGTGGGCCCGACACTCCCCCCAGGGACCCCGAGCCCCACGTCAGCTCATTGTTCCACCTGGCTTCACTCAGGAAACTCAAGTTCAAAGATGAAAGAATGAGGTCTTTGGAGTCAGTGATTGCACAGCACTGAACCCTAAGCGCAGGCCCCGGGTCACTGCAGCGGTCAAGGCCCCAGCCAGCCTGCAGAGGGGGCGCTGCTGCTTCCTGCGCTGACCGGCTCTCCCTTCCCGCCCCTTCTCCCCAGCGCCCACTCGCCACGAGAGCTTAAGAGATGTTCAGGTCCCTCCCACATGCCTGCACTCGGGACACACCGCGCCCAGGACCACTGCCACACACCCCCCCCCAACCCGCCATCTCTAGGGTCCTCCCAGCCGGCCTGGGGTCAAGAACGGCTCTGTGTGGAGCTCCCACCTGACCTTCGGCCTCTTGGAGGCTGGTCTGAGCCACCTATAGCGGAGGGCCTGCCCTCCCCGCTCCTCCGCCGGGCTGAGCAAGACCCACCTCCCCCGGGCGCTCGGCGTCCAGGGCAGACGGGCCTCAGTCATAACCAGACCTTCCTCTCTGCTCCTTCTGCCCTAAAGCTCTACGCGTCGTCCGACCTGGGGAGGAAGTGGACCCTTCTGCAGGAGCGAGTGACCAAAGACCACGTGTTCTGGTGAGCGAGCCCTCGCGGGACCTGGGGAGCCCCCCGCCCCGAGAGGCCAAGTCAGCGCCCTGGGCCCCCAGCCCTGCCCTCCTCACCCCAGGGGGGCCTCCAGGGCACCCTCTCTGCTCTGCTGGGCGGTGTCTGAAACGGCCGCGGGCGGGGGTCCGCCTCCCCAGGCCACATGTGTTTGTTTCCGTGTGAGTCTCCCTCTCCCGACCTCCGCTTCCTCGACAGTAGACCAGGGCGCTAATGCCCATAACGCTGGCACAGTCCCCACGCACGGCAGGCCCCCTGCCCCCTCCCTCCCCCCTCCTC